GGGTTCTGACTGACGACGAGGCCAAAACTTGGACGAAAAAGCTGTCCAGTACTCCCTGGTTTTCGATGGTCCTCTAACTGATATCAGTCCGTGACAGGACAAAAAAACTTTTGAAAAGTAGTAAGCTGTTTGTATAACCCAGTAGCTGAAATGATTACAATTAGAATGTGAACTGCATTCCCACACTCATGCTTTAAAAGTGCTTAGCAATAATGATACTAACGTATGTGTTACATTCGAATATGCTTGTAAAGCATATATTTGTGGAGTTTGATCTATTATTCTTTTCCTCGGGAGTTTTTAATTTAGAGACTTATTCTAAATAGTTTGAGGATTCACTGAAAAGCATAACGCCAACTTAGTGAGTGCTACAAATATAGGGTGAAAAATTTATCTCCACATGAATAGATAAATTCATATCAATCATGCATCAATTTCAATTTATAAACCTTATTATCGTGAAAAAAAGTATCACGTGGCATGCTTAGTTTTATGATAAACAATTTAGAAGTCTGTTTTCACTTAATTTTGGCATTTCATCAAAATTATATACTCGTAATACCTACTGTACTATGCATAATGCGATATATTTCTCACTTAATTTAATAGAGATATATAGTAAAAAAAAATATTGACTGCATATACATATGGACAAAAGTCAAATAAGGATACTTACTCTTGTAGGAGAGGGGACCCTCTGTTAATGTGTCCTATATGTAATAAACTTCAATATAGTATAGGACAGTATTTAGGCTCTGGATGGTAGACAAGTCAATCAATGATACTGTGGACTTAACGGAGTATTTTTGCTGACCTAAGAGGCTACAGTGTATGAAACACCATTACGTGATCGGATCAGTTAGAATACGATCGGACTAGAAATAGTACAGAGTGAGAAAAACTAACACTTTGGATGACTGGAGAACTGTGCTAGTCTCTTTGGATGACTGACTACAACTCTCACAACGTCAGGATCCATTGGTGGAACACCTTATGTATTGGAAGAGATGAATTCCATTTCTATTTTTCAAGCAGTTCGGAATATTATACTGCTTTTTCAATGAATTCTAATTCTCATCTTGACATTGTTGAACATAAACATATCGAGTTTGATTGGTCATTAGGTAGCAACCAGTGTTATAGGTCTAGTCGCTGGGTTGGTGTAAACTGAATTCTATCATTGGTTACTTCCTTGTGTCCAATCAGTGTATCCATTAAGAGATCAATTCCTAGGCTAAATAGATGATTGGTAACGTCTATGACTGCAGCACTGGGTGACTCGGATGCGAATCTCGGAAGGAACATGAATTTCTTGAAGGCTGAGGATACACCTTGTGGACAAGTGCCAACAAGCATGAAATCTAGATCTAAGGCTTCTTGGAAACTGTTTCCAATCAATCACCTAACACTAAGACTATACTTAGATGACAGTTCTTTCTTTTAAATAAAAGGAATCCATACATGCTTATTAAGTAATCGAACAACAACTACCACTTAAGAGTTACAAGGCAGAATAATAGTAAAGGTGCTTCTGCTTACATCAGAGTACATTATACGGCACAATTCATCATTTGAAAAGTCAGTGACCGCTACGCACTGCTAGGAAACCAGAAAAAAGAATTAAAAGCATTCAGGTGACAGGAAAACTACTTCTTTTTAACATTATGATATGCAACTTCATGTGAGTTCACTCATTAAACGCATTACAATATATACAATCAGGAATGTTAGCTGAAAATCCCTACATTATACACCTTGACAGTCTTCATTATTTACTCAAATAGGCAAATTCGTATTCACACTGAGGGAACTAATCTATTTATCTTAAATGCATACTAATCCAACAGGTGGAAATATAACACGAGTATTCCACCCATTTTAAAGTAACCCAATAAAACTTTCACATTGTACACTATATTCCTAATCGTCATTATACAGACAGAACTTGTGATTGGTAGGCTGTCCGTAAACCACATGTATGTATACAGAAAAATCAACACTTTATAAATAGTAACGCTCCAGTTGTGTAAACACTCAAATCAGAACTGCTTCATGAGATATGGAGTATGTGGAGAATCTTGGTAAATAGAAGCTCACACTTGTTGAAAGTAGTGTTCGCGTGGCTCTTATTCCAAGTAAGAACCTCCACCAATCGGTCATTCACAGTATAAGTTGCATTGTGAGCATGTTAGAAATCTGGCAATACACTGATTTTCGGTTTAGATAACTAAGTAGTATTACTGACTTTCACGAAAAATGCACGGTTTCGTATCAGTTGCAACCAGATGCATGTAACTGCTGTCATATTTTCGTACACTGCCATTTCACAGTATACTGAGAGACTATTAGTGAGAATATCTGAGGCAAGAATTCAGCCTCTCACTTCATCTTCAATCATCATTCATACCGTTGAGAAACGATTATCACTCCTTAGTGTTTGTCAGTCAGTGTGAGAACTGAGATATTGCCCGGGCACCCAAACCGAAGCAGGTAGATATCTTAAAGGACCATCCCCCGAGCTTTTGACTCTATGTCTCATCCGCAAGGTAGAGGAGCAGCGTCAGGAGCTATATCCCCATGGTTGCCGGCGACCAATACATCTTCATAAGGACATTCGATCCGATTGGATTCTGGAGCCCATGTACGTTATAGTAACTGCTTTTAGTCTAACCCCTATCCAAACAACCTTCATGGCCTAGTAGGACCTGGAGGAACATAAGTCGCAGCCACTGTAGGTTGTAGGATCACTGCGGTATGCCAACCTCAATACAACTTCATGGTAGCAGCTATTGATCGACACCTGTGAAAATAGCTATGATTTAAATACAAATGGACATCACTCAAACAAATGCTTGTATCCAGTATGGTTTTGAAACACATTAGTAATTATTTATCTTTTATTTGGACAGTTCTCAAGGGAGATATCTTCAAATATCACTGACTGGTTAATAAAGATCAAGATTCCGATAATTACCACTAATTTGAATTCCATTTCTCTATATGACTCACAGATTTGACATGCTACCCCTTAAAAGCATTTCAAACAGATTTCAGACTTTTATCAACAGATGTCTCGATACCGAAGACCAAGAGAGAATAAAAAAACAACAAGGAACTCTGGCAGCAAAAGAACCACTCAACCAACAAATACACCGAAGAAAATGGACTAGACACACACACACACTGAGTGTCATCATGAGCCAGGGGCCTTAGAGTGGAACGCAAATGAAGAACGACAAGTTAGGCTGAAATGGAGAACGCTACTGCAGACCTAAGGAAATAATGATAATCCATGATCCAATGAAAATAATAAAACAATTCACTAACAATATGTAGTATTTTTTCATTTTAGGCATATCTCATAATGTGAAAAGTAGTCAACATTGATGTGAATGATGTACAAAAAGCGCGTCATTAACTACTACTACTACTCCACCACCAACTAGTCACAGTAGTAGCAGAAGTATGAAGCAAAATAAGAACACAAATATAACTGACAATATAAGTGAGATCGACAAGAAGAAACAAACATTGCATAATTTGAACAGGTTGTTAATAAAAGTAACTAGGAGAAAAAGTTAAAATGGGGGAATTTAAAAATAAACAAAAAAACAATTAGAAATAAAAGTATAACAAAAGAAAGAGAAAGCTTATATTTTTTCAAAATAAAATGAAATAAAAATACAGCTTAATGCAGTCATCAGCATATGTCACACATTAAAATGATGAGTAAGCAGTGTGTACACTGCCACCTCCAAATGATCAATCAATGTAGGGCAGAGGTCTGAAGGAGCAGCAACATTAATGTACACATATAACTATATATATTAAACACAAATAAACAATAGAAAATGACAAATGTGATCAAGAGGATGCTAAATATGACAATCAATACCCAAAACAAAAAACAAAAAAAACTCGTTGATATAAAGAATAAAACTCACACATAACAATTAGGAGGGGTATAGATAGACGATATAAATGAGAGACCGATGAGGTGATGATGCAATAATCATAAGTATTCATACATAATACAGTTTGATAAAATAACAATAATGATAATAATAGTAATAATGAGATCGACAATGTGAAGCGGTTTGTATGAAAAGAAAAAACACATTATATAAAAGACAAGTAATAGAATAAACAATAAAGCAAAAAGCAATAATAATATATCCTACACATAAATAAATGTTCAAAATAAAAACATTTTAACATTCGTCATAAATATCATAATAATAATTATTATTATAATTATAATGATCATGATGATTAAAACACACACAGACAAAAAAAAACAAAAAAAAGAAGGAAACAAGTTCGATATACATGAGATCGTAACAGCTGTTAGTGTCTTCGTCGTTGCTGTAGTCGTTAGTGCCATCATCGTTGACGATTGGCAGGGATTTGAAACTGTTGTTGGTGGGGGGGGGGGGAAGGGAGAGGGCAGGGGTCCAGGGGATTTCGCGTAAAAGGGGTATAATGCACAGTAACTCTTTTTCCCATTTCTTTAGAATCCTAAGACTAGTTAATGCAATTGTGAAATATTTATGAGGAGGAGGGGGAGCAGGAGATCGAATAGGAGTCGGCGTATGTAGCACAATACAGTTTGTTGATGGAATAAAATAACATAAATAAATATTAAAAAACAACATCGTGAAAATAAAACAAAAAAGAAGCTGACATTGTTAAAATAAAAATACAAACAAACATCAGGATTAATAAAAGCTGTTGTATGTAGTAGGAAATTGACAATGACAAAGTGAAGGTAGCATTTGCGAATGCAAAATAAAGAAAAAAACAACAATACGCAACCAAACAATGAATAAACATTTGGCTCCTTTGATTTTAATAACTGATCTTATTTATTTATTTGGTATTTATGGTGTAAAAAAGGGGAAAACAAGATTTTCTTTTGGTAAACTGAATATATGCTGGATTAAAATTCAGAGAAAAACAAAACAAGTAAAGAACAAGAAGATGGATGAAGAGGATTCCGTTTAAGCTGTTGGATGATGATTTCGATCAAGTGTGGGTAAACGACTCACTGTACCTTTGTGCTTTTCTGCGGAATATTCACCAATAAATGAACCTTCCTCATTGAATTTACCTGTTTGTAGAGACAGAGACAGATAGAGATCATGGGTAAAGTGATGAAACAATGACATATAAGAATGTCAATTTATGTGTAAAGATCAGAAATCAATAAATTGTTGATTGATAGTAAACTCAAGATAATAACCCTTCTCTTGTCAACCTATCAGATATACATTGCTTTCCCACGCAAACATACTAGAAATTAACAGTTATGTATAGAAACTATTTGCATGACAACAAACAACTAAAATAGTATAAGCTCAGGAAAATGTGCAGAAGATACCCAGACTGTCAATTAAATTTTAACAAATTCAAGTATTGGATTGTAGGGATTTCGTTGATTGGTTACAAGATTTCATTATGAGCTGACATTAGTTAGAGAACCACTGGAAAACCTGGGAGTACTGGACAGCTGTTTCGTCCTAGTATGGGACTGTTCACAATACGCATCCACCGGGGTTCGAACGCAGGACCTTCCGGTTACAAGGCGAGCTTGTATACTATTAAGCCACTGGGACTCGATCCAAACTCTCTGGCATAGACGTGATATCCAGTTGGCTATCGACCAAAGGGCAGTTGTACTGCTCATCAGTCCGCTCCGTCCTCCTTTATGGCCATCGGTGAGACCTGGCCATTGAGAGTGAAAGACATGAAAAGATTAGCTGTCTTTGATCATAGGTGCCTTCGCTCTATCTCCCGTATGAAGTGGTATAATAAGGTGGGCAATATTGAGCTTAGGCGTCGATTGAGTGCTAGGTAAGGAGGGGAAATTAATCGACGAGGCTGTGAAGCTACATCGACTGAGATGGATAGGACATGTGTTACGTATGCATTGCTAATCATCGCCTTCCTCGACAGACGGGCAATGTTAGGTGACATAGGGTCAGGTTGGAAAAGAGCTAGTGGCTGTCAAACCAAAACATGGCTTCACCAGTCAATGAAATCCACGACAGTTAGTCTAAGCCAGCCACGTAGGAAGGTGTAGACTGGCTTCCTGGTTAGGGTCCTCGGGACGGTAAAAACCAATGAAGGCTGGAAACAATTGGTGATATGGCTCAAAGTTACCGTTCTTAATGGCTGGCGAAGATGCATCCACTCCCTGTGACTTATGATTTCCAGTGAAAGCATATTGTTCTTCGTTATTACTATTCCTTTGTCTCACACCTCTGTGTATTGTCTCTATTATGGTTTTCTTCTACTTTCTTCTGTTGCTTTGTGTGCTACATAGAGGGAGTGTGGCGATTTGAACTGCTGCATATATGTGTAAAGTTCTATGTCGAAAACAGATGGACAGACTACAAACCAATATTCGAATACTAACAAGATGCTCACAGGCGACTGGCCCTATTCAGGTTGGTAGTTACCTGGGGTTCCAGTGGGAAGTCGTGACCAGAAGGGTGCGAAGACAAATACTCGCCGAAGACATTGGCTAGCGGTTGCGCTATATCGTAAATTGGTAAAGTTAGAATTCATGGGCCATTGGTTTGGGTCCCAGTGGCTTAACGGTATACGAGCTCGCCTTGTAACCAGAAGGTCCTGGGTTCGAACCCTGGCTGGTGATTGCGTACTGTGAACAGTCTCAAACTAGGACGAAACAGCTATCCAGTACTTCCAGGTTTTCACAGGTCGTTGGAAGTGAGAAAATGAGCATACGCTGGACTAACAAAAAGACTCTAGAAGATCTGGACTTTGCGGATGATTTACAAGCGAAAACCAACAAATTGGTAGAAGCAGCAGACAATACAGGACTTCAGGTGAACATGTAGGGAAGACAGACGTGATGAAGACACTCAACCACAACCAACAACAACACACATACGCGGCAATCACCATCAGTGGATAAATTTGACGACAGTTGTCTCTCTTTGACTTATTTACCCGGAAAGCTTCAATTTAACAACAACAGGGATGAGGATGTCAAAGCCTGGTTAGATCAGATAGGGAATGACTTCTCTTAGTTTGAAATGAGTATGGAGATTCACAGAACTCAGTACACAAGGATGAAGATTGAAAATTTCAACACTAGTGTCAATTAAGTTATTCTACATGGATCAGAGGCTTGACGCACGCCTCATCAAAAGCAACAACAATTGCATGCTAAAGTATGCAATCTCGATACTGGAGGACAGATGGTCTGTTAAATAGGATAAGTATCCCTGGTAGGAAGAGAACCAGCCAAGAATCATTGGCCCAACCAATATACCGAAAGAAATGGGGATGAACTTAACATACGCTGAGGAGACATTGAAGTCACATCACACACCAGGCAGGTGCTTGTGTGAAACATACAAATGGGTCAGTGGTGTAGGCACTTGAAATTAATGGCGGAGAGGCCAACAGAGATGTGTTTCTGAAGCCTTTCAATCCCACTTGGAACGCAAGGAATGAATAATGCTAAAGAACACTGTCTGCTTATATCTCGTACATTTTTTACAATATGCTTGAAAAGTGGTAACCAGTATCGAAATGTAGCATAGAAAAGACATTGATAAGGTTTCAAAAATAACCTGCAAACTTTAATTTGGAAAAACTTACCGGGATCGAGATTATAGTCGTCTAGTTCCCCATCGGCATCACTTCCAATTTCAGCGCTATCATCGTTCAGGGAACAACGACTCCCTCGAAGAGGAGGTTCTTCACTAAATTAATAAACAACAAATAATTCACGTATGCGAAAAACACGAAGAAAGCATGTTTACGGAAACGCCTATATTTAATGACTAATATACACTCCTCTAGCATTGTATTAATGGTTAATTCGGAATACATGGTATGATTCCCTCTATTGGACGTATTCTTTATGAGTATAAACACTTTGCCAATCTTAATTATCTTTTCCATACATATATTTAAGAAAGTAACGTTTTTTATTACATCAGATGTTGTTCTATGGTTGTGAAAAAGCTGAAAATTCAAATAAGCCATAATTCTGCTAGATAGACATTTGAACATTTAACGATGGCAATGTGATGCTTATGCGACGGTTTTCACATTCAACGACTAGACACTACTCCTGCTTCATCAGCCTATAGCCTCCGCCTTTAAAGTCATCTACAAGGCAAAGAGTAATTTACCCAAATCCCTACGTACCCGACTCATCTGTACTACTAAAGGTTTGGCTATCGAAACAGAAAAGCCAGACCTCTGTGTACAGAAAAAGTTTGTTCAACCCCTCCAACATTCATGGCCTTAATCCCTCTATGCTAAAGTATGATAATCCCTAATCATATTTTAGCTCTACCAATTTTTCGTTTTTTTCTTCATTTTGTCTATTCAATTTGTATACTCTTCCCTTATTACGACAATTGTTATTATTATTATTCTCACTCTGAACTGTCCCCAGTATTATTTCACTTGTTCCACTTGTCATTCTAAATCAATTCTTTTTTACAACGTTAAATTCTATACTATAAAATTTCACACAATGTTACGTAACGTTTTTATTTTATTCGATTTGTCTACTAATCCTATAATTGCACACCCTTTTTCAACTTCTATCGATCCTATGAATTATTCTATATATTACATTAATTGTTTTGTCACTTGACATTTAACTATGATTATAGTCACAAACATTTTAATTTTAATTGTATTTCATACCACTACTATTATTATTATTTTATGCATTCACACCTATGATTCAAGTCCCTCACTCGATATAACTTCTTATAAACCATATATATACGATTGTACAGCTTGGTGATAAATTCGTTGAAAGGAGTCTCTTCGCTGAATCACTTGTTTTGATTTTCATCAGTCTAAGACTGATGTCTAGTTTACCTGGGGATTTGGCGATCAACGTAATCAATGGCGTAAGTGGAAAAAAGTTATTTCACTTTCAACAATTAATGATTGATAAAGATGAGATGTGGATGGCCTAATCCAGATCAAAAGTACAACTCAGCGATATGTAACATGTTTTTCGAATATAACTAGAGAAGTGAAGAAATACAGGAAGTTATCTGATCATTTTTTCTCTCTTTCTCTCCACAACATCCATCCACAGAGATGCGTTTCATTTTCATGTAATGAAACAGTCTAGTGAATTAAATAACATAGTAAACTATCATTCATTGAAATTATTGTCTAGGGAAATATTTCTTTAGTGAGAATCGAAGTTGAAGGATTTCATCATGAGCTGACATCGGTTAGAGAACCATTGGAAAACCACCTGTGAGTACTGGACAGCTGTGTCGTCCTAGTTTGGGACTCTTCACAGTTTGCATCCACACTGCGGGGTTAGGACCCAGGACCTTCTGGTCACAAAGAGAGCTAGCTCGTAGACCATTAGGCCACTGGGGCCCGATCCAACAAGCTATGAGTCACTGTCCTTAGCTTCAACCTGCTGTACCCTACTGGTGACGGCTCCCCATTAGAACCCCAGGTAACTACCTACCTGAATACGGTCAGTCGTTAGTGAGCATCAGATCAATTTTCAGGTATTGGTTTGTAGGGATTTTGTTTAACTGATTGAAGGATTTCATCATGAGTTGACATCAGTTAGATTTCATGGGCTATCGGATCGGATCCCAGTGGCTTAATGGTCCATGAGCTCACTAGCCTTGTAACAAGAAGGTCCTGGGGTTTCTAACCCCGCGATGTGAGTGCGTACTGATGGAGAGTCCCGAACTAGGACGAAACAGCTGGTTCTCTAACTGATGTTAGTCAGTTCATGATGAAATCCTCCAACCAATCAAACAATATCCCTACAAAGCAATATATGAGAATCAAAGTTGAACGCGCGAAATACTAGAGTAGCCCAAACAAGATACCGAATTTGTACATAGAGTTTATATAGATTCAAACAGTGAACATCCACCAATACTTTAGCAGTCAAAACCTATCAATAAATAACAAGAACTGATATCATTCTACGAAACGTGGAACACCCTATTTCAATTTTCAGTATCTGATCTTCTTTAGACTATTCTATTTTAAATTATACAAACTGTGTTGTGAGTACAAATGAGATTCTAAAACAGTGAAGCGCGAAATGAATATGTGCCTAAAATATCCTAGAACAATATTCAAAATATTTGATAAGCCAATGCGGAACCGTGTAGGTAGGTGTACCATCAGTACAAAATGGTGTATTTCGACAAACTATATACAAGATGACAGAACAACAGTGAAATAAATCTGCAATGGACGGCGACGTATGGGCATAGAGAATAAATAAATGAAAACCAGTGCAGGTTTCAGGTTCTGAAAGGTGGCACGAAATAAACACACACCTACACAAATGTGAACAATTTTCAATTACCAATATTCGTAGACCACAGATTTTCACCATAGCGGTGATCTAGTCAGACAATCTAAGTCTGAATACGTAGTTCAGCCTTTTCATACTGTTAATTTTGAGAGCAGTAAGACACGCGACTAAAAACCAGCTTCTAGTACGAATAAATTAAGGTCTTAACTGCGATGCAAAGTAAGTGAGATTTTGTTGTGATATAGCGGTTATCAAATGAGCAAGTACAATGTAAGCACTATTCCACCTACTGTATCATAATGTAAACATAAAGCCAATCCCTTTGTTTGATAGTGGCTGACAGTGGAATCTAGCATGAGATCAATGCATCTGCATCCTCAGCGAGTGATGATATCCCCATTGGCCACATTGTTTGAACTCAATTACTTAAAAAAATCTTTCAAGGACGAAGAGCTAAGAGGCATACTTGTGGTGAGAGCTGGCTGCTAGCCAAAGCTGGTAGAAAGTAATTTACGTCAATGTATATGTCCCCAATATTGGTCGTGAGAAAAATGAGAACAAAGGCTTTGCGTAGGCGGATACAATTAACATATAAATGATCTGACAATCCAGAAACAAGTATTGGTTTTTTGTAGGGATTTTGTTTCGTGAACTGGCAGAAGTTAGAATTCAAGGACCATTGGATCGGGTCCCAGTGGCTCAATGGTCTACGAGCTCGCCTTGTAACCAGAAGGTCCTGGGTTCGAATCCCGGTGGGTGCGTACTGCTGAGGAGTCCCAAACTAGGACGAAACGGCTGTCCAGTACTCCCAGGTTTTCCAGTGGTTCTCTAACTGATGTCAGCTCATGATTAAATCCTCCATGCAATCCAGAAACAGTCACAAAGAGATGCAAGGTAAACTTTCAGTGAGAAAAAACCAACCAGAGGACCGTGTTTTTCTGCTAACAATAACCTATGATAATGTACATGAAAATCTATAAACATGTGTTGATTTCTTTAATAAATGATCTTTTGCCTGGCCCTTGTCTTCTGTTGTTACATACTTATCGTGTGAGGGTCGATGTGATAATACCCGGTCGCACAAGCTAAATTAGTTGCAGTGAGACCCAAACTTGTGACCCGTTAGCTGTAAACCAAACCAAGCCAATTAGTCATATCTCCACTGGACGAAGAGAACCACGTTTCGTAGTGCCATCCATCATTTAAGTTCAGGTGAATTTCTCATTGATTGATTTATATCAGACCGAAATACTCGATTTCTCTTGACATGTGGACTCCTACCACGGAGGCTTTCACGATATCTGATAGTCATAACACATTATATCATTTTCCCAATGATATCTGGCAGTAGAATCGAACATTAACCCAGTGAATTCAAATTTAAAGCATGGAATATAAATCGCATGCTGTGAGAACAATGTATAACAAATCGGAATGATATTATTGATTAAATAAGTTGATATTTTAAAAAGAAAAACAATATCGTTTTTTTCTTATTACCAACCAGCATCTGATAGTAATGATAAAACTTCAAAAACTTCAAAAACAACAACAAAACCAACAACAAACAAACAACCGTTGTGTGAGAATGTATGTAACAAAGCAAGCACTTACGTTCGTTCATACGTTTGAAATGCTTCTTTTTCGCGTAACTCCTTTTCTGGATCATTTCCAAGAGCGCGTTCCTCACGATCCACTGGGAATAAGTAGAATAATAATTGACAGATCGGTGAAGAACATTACAAATAAATAATTTGGCATTACTTCAATATCACGGCAGTATAATAGTAGATACGATACACTTAGAGATTACTTTGAGTAAAGCAATAACAACACGCGAAGCAGGATAAACCGGATATATTTCATTCTGTCGGCAACTTATCAGTTGCACGGATATCAAGTGACATTTTTCCCTTCACGTTCCTCAGTGGAACATAGGGCCCCAAGCTAGAGGCCTGAAGTTCCTGTAGCAGTGTTTAATTTTTACAGGATGGGGTTGCTAGCCAGCCGCTTGCCTAACCTTTCCTCTTTACCAGCATTATTTCTGGCTTAGCGAGGTAAAAGAGTGCGTCGGTGGCCGGGGGATCGAACCCCCGACCATGTGCATGGTTGGCGAGCGTCCTAACCGCTATGCCACCGACGCACTCAAGTGAGATAGTACATTGTTTTTTAATAGATTTAACATATTGACGTCCGGTGTCTTGGGAGTGTGCTACTCAAACAGACATCTTGAATTCCTCCAAAATATTTTTACTAGGAAAGTATAATACGGGATATACAGTCACTACAGTTTTCGAGAAATATAACGCTAATAGTATAATAATTCACTTAGCTCAAAAAAAACTATAGGGTTAGCAAAAAAACTTACACATATAAGTTTCTCCTCGGAAACGCATTACAAGACAAGCAGTTAATACTCCGATTGCAATGATAACAAGAACACCAATGATCACAGCAGTTATCCAAGAAATGTTAGCAGATGCTATGTGTGAAAAAAGAAAATGTGAAAAGATACGACAATTATTGTGTTGTTATTCAAAAGTAAAATTTTCAATGGGACACAACTCGTTTATGAAAACTTCAACTTACCAGGAGTTGAATCATGATCAACTTGAAGGTCTAAAGCTGCTGTCATGAGTGATTGAATCTTTGCATCATCATGTGAGTCATATACTTTCATATTTGGCTCCAAAAGTCTTGTATCAATGTCTGCAACACGAGAGGTTATAAATGGATAGAATATGCGCCAACGACAAGTCACATTCACTTTTCGGAATAATACAACCAACGATGGATCATCAACGGGTGTAATTATTAACTACAAAAAGAACGAAAGTAATTTCACCCGTTAATATAGTAACGATAATATTATTAATTATTATTATTATTAACAAAGTGTACACATTTTTTTGAAACTAGTGCTTGAACCATAATACTGCACAAAAATGGTTGGACATCCCTGTGGAGTTTATTACAAAATAAAGAACTACTGGGGACATAGAGTTGTTTCAGAAGAGAATAAACATGAGACTATGAGATGATAAAAGGAATACAAAATAATTCAGGAAGTGACACTAGCTTTCTGATCTCTGTTGAATCTTTCACTTAGAGTTCTTAGCTCGAATTTTTGCATGTCAGTAGATGCCCACTGTTCATAGTCTATGTCTAAAAAGCAAATACATACGTGTTCAATGTGAACTTGAGGCCGAGTTACTCACGCACACGCACACAAACACTGCCTTAAATATATATCAACTTATCGCCATGAGTAGTAAAAATAGAAAGCCATTCATCATGAGTGAGTTTTAAGATATCCTGAGCACCTATCTGGATCCTTCCTACTTCAACTTCTTTTTTTGATGGAATAGTTTGATACAAAATAAATTTAATCCAAATTTTTCCAGCGATATATATTTATAATTCATTCAGATAGTAAAAAAAACTATAGTCAGAAAGACATTTTGCTTAAGTGTACTCAGACGTACATTTCCTAGAAACTGACTCCGGTAGGTTACACGGAACTTTAAACACAGATATCACATAATCGGACCTCCTCCTTTACACTGAAATACTTAAAGTGAAGAACTGCTGTGAGAATCTAAGAATAGAATATATTTACAGACTGTGCATCGGTGGTAGAATGCTCGCCGACCACGCATGGTGGTCCAGGGTTCAATCCCCGGCCATCGACGCACTCCTTTACCTCGCTAAGCTAGTAATAAAAATGGTAAAGAGGAGAGGTTGGACATGGGACTAGCAACCACTTCTCGTGAAGATACAAAAAATACTACTTCTACTGAAACTTCAAGTCCTATGTTCCACTGGGAACGTCAAGGAATAAAAGAAATCACAGACTACTACTTATCAGGCAGTCAACTGAAACGCATCACAAAAATACAATCACGTACAACCATAACAGTGGAATTATCAGAATAAATGAATTTACTTTAGTGCCTTCTGTTTTAATAAATTTTGATTGTTGATAATCTTTTGTCATTTTTGATACAGCAATACCATTCAGCTCCCATGTTTGTGTTGTATACGCAGACTGATATGGATCTGAATCAACAACACAATCAAATGTATGCGGAACAGTATTTAAACAGTCAGTAACACAAGAGTAATCCTTTGGAGCTTTTAAAATGTTCAGTCGAGCTAAAAGAAGAAATACAAAGGAACAAATTTAGAAAAAAACAAAAAAGAAATTTAATTATATTTAACAAAAAATCCAATTGAATTCTGACTGAAAATTAATTTTTCTACGACGATTTGCCACGCAGCATTAATCACATTAGATGCTTCCAAGATCCCGTGAGGTGTATTTTTTAACTTGTTAAACATACGCAGGTCGGTGTACACGGGAGCATACATAGCAGACGTACGATAACTAGAGGTGATGAAACTATCTTACTGGTCGATCCCGGGATTAGGTGAAGCAGGGTTTTCAGCACGTGACTAAATCTTCAGAGATCAGCCGAGTAGGCAGACGATTCCATTCAAATAATGATGCAGCAAGTGTAGAAAGTGCCTAAACTCCTTCAGCTAAAACTTTGAATTTCTCAAAGCTAATCTTTACACCACGCCATTTACGTTCCCATTCAGATTTGACCATTCTATCCAATCTCTTTTACTTAACAATTTCAAGAGACAAAATAATTGGAATTTATTTTTTATTTATTTTTTTTTTGATTACAGCTTGACTCCACACTGTATTTTCAGTGCAAGTATGGAATTTTCTGCATGTGATATCGGTAGTCCAAATTTTGCAGGTCGACCATAGATATCAGGTGTGCGTCGGTAGGGGACCGAACCTCAGACCATGTGCATGGTCGGCGAGAGTCCTAACCACTGTGTCACCGAGCAAACTTTCATAGGTGTTTCGACAGATTTATCTCAACAATACTGGCTTCAAATTGACATTTTTAGTTCCCGGATAACGAAACTTAACTGACACGATGCTTCTATTATAAATCTTAAGGAAATGTATATTGTTGACCTTAAGAGTTGGTGTACATGTAAATGTAGTTTAACTCCGATTCTTAGCAGTAAGCGTGCATATTCTACTTTTAAAGTGGGCAATTTTTGACTCTGTCGATCGGGAAGTTCTCTGGAGATGCTTGGCTGTCAAGGGAATCCCGAGAAAATATATTGCACTGATTAAGGCACTCTACTCGTACTCATACAGCCAGGTGAGGGCTTACGGCGAGCTGTCATCTGAACTGATGACGACCAGTGGTGTCCGTCAAGGATGCCCATTATCTCCTTTTCTATTCAACTTCATCATAGATGTGTTAATGGACTTAACCCTAGGTGACTTCAGCGATTCAGGGATTGACTTGCTACCAGGGAATAATCTCGTTGACTTGGAATATGCAGACGATATAGTCCTTCTAGGCGAAGACGCTGACAAAATGCAGAATCTTCTAAACACCTTGAGCCGAAATCTACGAATGTTTGGCATGCGATTCGCTCCCGCCAAATGCAAGATGATGTTACAGGACTGAACTACATCGACGCCTAGTTTAAAAATAGGAAGTGAAGTGGTAGAGCACGTTGACCGCTTCACTTATTTGGGAAGTACCATCAGCCCCAACGGGCTGATCTCTGACGAAATCTCAGCACGAATACAAGGGGCTCGTTTCGCATTTGTTAGTTTACGCCGACTCTGGCGTAGACGAGATGTTCGACTATCGACCAAAGGGCGGGTGTACTGCTCATCAGTCCGCTCCATCCTCCTTTATGGCCGTGAGACCTGGCCACTGAGAGTGGAAGACATGAAAAGACTAGCTGTCTTTGATCATAGGTGCCTGCGTTCTATTTCCCGTGTAAAGTGGTATAATAAGGTGAGCAACATGGAGGTTAGGCGTAGAGTTCTAGGTAAACAGGGGAAATCAATCGACGAAGTCGTGAAGCTACAAAGACTGAGATGGTTAGGACATGTGTTACGTATGCCAAGTCATCGCCTCCCTCGACGAGCTATGTTAGCGGATATAGGGTCAGGCTGGAAAAAAGCTAGCGGCGGTCAAACAAAAACTTGGCACCAGTCAATGAAATCCACAACAGTTGGTCTTAGCCACGTAGGAAGGTGTAGACTTCCAGGCTGGGGTCCTCGGGACGGTAAAAATCTATGGTTGGAAACAATTGGTGACATGGCTCAAAACCGTTCTCAGTGGCTAGCGCAGATGCATCCACTCCCTGTGACTTATGATCTTCAATGAAACTGTTTTGTATTTCTTTATAACTCCTTTGTCTCACACCTCTGCTCACTGTTTCTATTATGCTTTTCTTGTACTTTCTTCTCTTGCTTCGCGTGCTACACGGAATGTGGCGACTTGAACTTCCGCACATTTGTGCAAAGTTCTATGTCGAAAACAGACAGACAGACAGTTGCCGAATTATACTGAACCGCCCTTTGGATGATAATGATTATTCACATAAGATCCAAGTTTTAACGCATTTGAATTTTTTTCTAAATTCAGTATACATAGGGTATCTTTACATTACGATTTAATTAATTACTCACTATACTGACTTCTCAGGGGTGGAAAACACGTCTCGATGATCCCAACCAAGTAGTCTACACTACTCTACCTGGATCAGACCAGGTATCAATAGTCTTGCCACCACTAACTGACCCACAACCTAAACCAACCTCAGGTAACACTACTTATCGAGGAAGACCGGTGTTCTCGCCACATTGGTGCATAATGTCCTACCATCACATAGTTTGAATAACCCTTCCTAACACTATCTATCAATGACCCCATTCTGTCTGTCTGGATTCAACATAGAACTTGGCACCGAAGTGCAGCAGTTCGAGTTGCCACGTTCCAAATAGCACACAGAGGTAGACAAGAAGATGAGTGAAGAGAATCAATAGAGTTTGACAAATATAAGAGTGAAACAGAATGGGTAATTGTAGAAAGGAATATGAAAGATTACAGAGACTGCAATGACCCCATTGCTATTTATGATGTTGCTCAAACTAACGTGAGTAAAAGAACGAAGGCACTTTCCATCTAAAACCTTTAATTTCTTGGATATTGTTTTCAGTGGTCGTGTTTCACAATCGTATAGCAGGACAGGGAGACCTGCTGTACAATACACACTTTCTTTAATAGACAGCCAGATAACACACCACAGTCAAAGATACAAAATACCAAACGAGAATTTTACACCTGTGCTGACAATTTACAATTAAACCATGCCGACAGGGTTCACTGGCATCTACCAACTTTTACCATTGTTTTTAGAATAGACTCGAAATGATACCCAACCATTCCCCAATGATAAATGCTTGGTGAAATGATTTACTCATGTAAACTTCAGACATCCTTTCCAAACAATAATGAACACAAATGAAGAGCACATAAACACAAATAAAGACTAATTCAAAAAAGGTCTTACGTAGTACTCTGACAACAGTAGAGACACGAGCTAGCCCATATTCATTTCTTCCAACCAAGCTAACAGTATGAGTTGGTCCAACTTTACTACCGGGTGTGAAGAATAAATTACTAGCCGAATAGGTTAGAATATGACCATTTTTTTGTAGTGGTTGAATTAAAGCATCTTTCAGGTAGGGATATTGATCTCTTAGCTCAGTACGAAAGTTTGTAGGATTCGGTTGGTAGGTTAATCCATTAATTTCTAAAGACTAGGTAAGAGAAAATTACAAAATCAAAAGAAAGTTTTGTTGATTGGATGTAGAAATGACATCATTTCACAAGGTATTTAGACACAGTTGGAAATGAATGCATGAAAATTTGCGAAATTCCAGTAAATTATATATATATATATATATATATAACTCTAGTGACATAATCCAGTGGTATGATATTTGTTGAATGACAGTTGGATGGATGCACCATCCGATTTCTTATACTAACAATAACCGAATCAATAAAGATTTCTGCGCATATGTTACTGAGGTTAAATGTACTGATGGACTTAACCCTAACTCACTTCGGCGACTCAGGAATTGACTTGCTACCAGGCTATGAATAATCTACTTGACTAAGAATATGCAGATGATAAAGCCCTTCTAGGCGAGGACGCTGAAAAAATGCAGAGTCATCTCAACACCTTGATCTGCAATCTACGAATGCTTGGCATGCGATTAGATCCCGCCAAATGCAAGATGATGTTACAGGACTGGACCACACTGACTCCTAGTTTAGAAATAGGAAGTGAAGTGGTAGAACACGTTGACCGCTTCAATTATTTCCGAAGTATCATCAGCCAGTGCCAACAGGTTGATCTCTGACGAAATCTCATCATGGATACTGAAAGCCAGTTTCGCGTATCCCAGTTTACGCCGTCTCTGGCTTAGGAAACGTGATATCCAGTTGGCTATCGACCAAAGGGCGTGTGTACTGCTCATCAGTCCGCTCCGTCCTCCTTTATGGCCATCGGTGAGACCTGGCTATTGAGAGTGGAAGACATGAAAAGATTAGCTGTCTTTGATCATAGGTGCCTTCGCTCTATCTCCCGTATGAAGTGGTATAATAAGGTGAGCAATATTGCGGTTAGGCGTCGATTGAGTGCTAGGTAAGGAAAGGAAATTAATCGACGAGACTGTGAAGCTACATCGACTGAGATGGTTAGGACGTGTTACGTATGCCTAGTCATCTATCGCCTTCCTCGACAGACGAGCAATGTTAGGTGACATAGGGTCCGGTTGGAAAAGAGCCAGTGGCTGTCAAACCAAAACATGGCTTCACCAGTCAATGAAATCTACAACACTTAGTCTAAGCCAGCCACGTAGGAAGGTGTAGACTTCCTGGTTGGAGCCTTGGGACGGTAAAAACCAATGAAGGCTGGAAACAATTGGTGATATGGCTCAAAGTTATCGTTCTCAATGGCTGGCGAAGATGCATCTACTCCTTGTGACTCATCATTTCCAGCGAAAGCATATTGTTCTTCGTTATTACTATTCCTTTGTCTCACACCTCTGTATATTGTCTCTATTATGCTTTTCTTGTACTTTCTTCTCTTGCTTTGTGTGCTACAAGAAGGGAGTGTGGCGACTTGAACTGGTGGACATCGGTGCAAAGTTCTATGTCGAAAACAGACAGGCAGACTGAGGTTACACAGCTTTGCAGTGAAAATTATTTTCAAAACAGGATAAGAAAAATGAATTACTAATAACTTACAAACGATACGATAGTTCCTTTGTGGAATGTAGAAGACGATCACCGTTGTCAGTTCGTCGACAGGGAACTCCATACGTATCACCTGCATACTTCTCAGTCTGGCACAACTGCCCTACTTGGGCATTGAAGTCGCCTGCTAAGACAACTATATGTGAACGTTTTCCTTTTGCAGCAAATTAGACAGTTTCAGGTAGAAGTCATCCTTTAGTTCCTCCGAACTGCAGTCTGTTGGGGTGTAAGCGGAGACTACGAAAGGGCAACGACGAGTAGCACCGCCTGCCTTTCCTTCTTTTAACGGACCCATTCAGATGGACCGCACACATACGACTATCTATTGGGATCCATTTACTCAAGAGGCGATTTTTCCGCCCTAACACTCAGTGCTATCCCTACACCTACGAGGGCTCTCCTGACACCCTTAAAAGTGAATTTTGCAGATTCACCTTATTGACCGGGTGAGGTTAAATGAATGACCACACTCGGGTCTTCTATGCGTGTCTCCGAAACACAACATACGTCCATGGCTCGAGATGCCAGAGTTCTTGCTAGTGATGCCTGTTGTCCGATTTGGCTTTGTGGACCAATGATTCGTTCTAACTGGTAGAGGTGGGTAATTCATCGAGCGTGCATGGACTAGACATACGTGTACCTTTGCCTTATATAATACATTATTACAGACTACATCATTTCTGATCTCTACTACTTTTCAGTTTGCTGAGACAACAAATCCCAAACTAGACCAAGGAATAGTCTCGTCACTAACACTTGTAAAACGACCTTCCTTTTGTGCAAAAGGGCTATGGTCACCGGGATTATTTACCGATAGTTTAGCCTGTTATATTTACGAAGCACTAATTAAAGACTATGCATTTTTAAATACAGAAATATTCCTTCAGATCAGCACAATTACTTCCTCAAAGATCGACTATAAATAACACGACAATGCTAGCAATAATTTAAGGCTTCTATGCTGAGAAACTCATCTGACGTAGAAATAGAGAAGTAGAAGTGCGGTTAATTGTTCTAGACCATGTTCCTACTACCGGGGTGTAGACAGAAAGATAGTTTTAATAATCCACACACACACATTAGGTGTGGCCCATTGCCAACCACATGGAGTTGCATGTGTTGCTAGGTGACGCTTTATCTCGTCTTTTCCAGAGAATTATTTCCTAGGTGATTCTAATTTACTGATTACTTCCAGTGACAAGAAAACCAATTATTGAACAGTCGTTTCGCTGCACAATTTAGGCTCCCTCATGAGCACTCACTTTCTAGGGTTGGAACCCAGGACCTTCCGGTTACAAGGCGACGTCGCAGATCACTCAGTCAGAGACTCGAACCGGCAGGAGTTGGAACTCATGGGCTATTGTATCGGGTCACCAATGTGGCCCGCCTTGTAATAAGAGAGGCCAGGGTGTAAATCCCGATGGGTGAGCACTGTTGAAGAGTCCCAAAATAGGATGGGATATCTGCTCACCACTCCCTGGTTTCCCAACAGTTCCCTAAATGCAGTTAGCTCGTGATAATACCTGTAATCAATCGAATCTCTGAGAAACAACACTTGAAATCAATCAATTACCATTCTCATGACCGTTACAAAAAGAAAAATATGTAAAGAGATGAAATGAATGAATTCACAAGAAGTTGAATAACCACTGACTCCGATAATTTTGATTTTTTTTCACATTTTTTTTTGCATTTTTCATATGCATCTTAAACTTCAGTGAGATGTTAAAAAAAATTATCATGTTGCCAAATTTTTAAAAAAAACATAGTAGGTATGTATAACCCAATAGGAAAACTACCTCTGTTATAAATGAATCCAATTGGCAACTGAAAGTGACATTCTCTCCTTCCATGACTAAAACTAGCGGTGGGGGTGCACGTATCACTTCAGGTGGGCCGACAACGCTAACTATAAATTGAAAATTCACTCGTTCATTTCCATTTTCCACAAGTAAATTATACGTTCCTGGCGACAATGAAGAGAAAAATAAGGCAATAAAAACAATAAACTTAGCATTGTCAATTGCAACAATAGCACAATAAATATGTTTATCGGAAAAAAAAATAACAGTACTGGCAAAAGTAGTCGTCAGCTTTTCAAGTCAATAGAGAAATCAATTTCAGTATAGAAGAAAATCAGGATATAAAATCGCTAGATCGATGGAGAAAGAGAGAGAGATGAAAGCAGAGGAACTGCTTTGACTAAAATATATGTGAGACTGGAGACATACAGATACGCACAAAGATGAACAAATTCTTTTACTGAAATATGCAAACATTAAGTTTAACTAACACATTATCCACAGATATATAATTAGATGAAATGGCAGACTAACATACAAGCACATGTACAATGAGAAAGAAAATCATAAAACATTTGAGTAGGATACGAAAAATATATGCAAATATGCAGAATTCAAATAAACATATGGTAGGGCGTAAGAATATGTATGGTAAGCGAAAAAGCTAACTGAAAAAATAAGCAACATAAAATACATGAATACACATGTACACTATTCATTTAAAAAAAATTAGAGTTGACTCATATGAGACTAAATATCACCGCGGTTTCTACTGTTAGCATTCCTGCTGAGAAGTGCGGATGATTTATTTATTGACAGTCTGAAAAGTGAGGCATGAAATCAAAATACTATTTGAAATAATGTACACATATTTTTCTACAACTTAAAACATCACCATTACATGGAACAGTCTGTCTCTTTTCGACATAGAACTTTACACATATATGCAGCAGTTCAAATCGCCACACTCCCTCTATGTAGCACACAAAGCAACAGAAGAAAGTAGAAGAAAACCATAATAGAGACAATACACAGAGGTGTGAGACAAAGGAATAGTAATAACGAAGAACAATATGCTTTCACTGGAAATCATAAGTCACAGGGAGTGGATGCATCTTCGCCAGCCATTAAGAACGGTAACTTTGAGCCATATCACCAATTGTTTCCAGCCTTCATTGGTTTTTACCGTCCGGATGACCCTAACCAGGAAGCCAGTCTACACCTTCCTACGTGGCTGGCCGGCTTAAACTAACTGTTGCGGATTTCATTGACTGGTGAAGCCATGTTTTGGTTTGACAGCCACTAGCTCTTTTCCAACCGGACCCTATGTCACCTAACATTGCTCGTCTGTCGAGGAAGGCGATAGATGACTAGGCATACGTAACACGTCCTAACCATCTCAGTCGATGTAGCTTCACAGTCTCGTCGATTAATTTCCTTTCCTTACCTAGCACTCAATCGACGCCTAACCGCAATATTGCTCACCTTATTATACCACTTCACACGGGAGATAGAGCGCAGACACCTATGATCAAAGACAGCTAATCTTTTTATGTCTTTCACTCTCAATGGCCAGGTCTCACCGATGGCCATAAAGGAGGACGGAGCGAACTGATGAGCAGTAGCCAGCTGTATATCACGTGTACTAAGCCAGAGACGGCGTAAACTGTGATACGCGAAACTGGCTTTCAGTATCCATGATGAGATTTCGTCAGAGATCAACCTGTTGGCACTGGCTGATGATACTTCGCAAATAAGTGAAGCGGTCAACGTGTTCTACCACTTCACTTCCTATCTCTAAACTAGGAGTCAGTGTGGTCCAGGCATGGAACAGTACAGTTTCAAGGAGTAGTAAGACCAACATAAAGAACAAAACTAGGATTTGCGACACCAATGACAAGTTAGTGCTTCCATTTGCATCAGAAACTTGGCGCATCTCGAAAAGCATTTCCAACAAGCTAACCTACAGACCTTTGTCAGCAGCTGCCACCTTCGCTACCTACTGAAGACCAGATAGCCGGCCAGAAAGAACTGGCAACGAGAAACTTAAGGGACGAACCAACCAAGAAACTATTGCTCAACAAAAATTCCGAAACAAAAAGATGGAGATGGATCGGAAACATGCTGAGGAGACTGTCAAGTGTCATCGCTCGAGTGGGAAGTCTGAGGGTGATATGGTTGGGATCGTGCGAGATGAGAAACTGGAGGCGACAGCTAAGCATACAATAGTGGAGGTATGGAAGAAATATCAGGAAATTACAATGACCGGAGATATACAGGAGAAACGGTAATTAAATGAAGATTACTGAACATTTGTGAAATCTGAAGGATGATAAGGAGTTAGTTCACCTGCGTTATTGTAAATGATTTTACGCCATATCTCAGAGTTTCCAAACAGTCTGCGTCCCAATGTGGTTCAGACCATCAGCCAAACGACTTCACAGATTAATGCCAAGTTCTGGCCTTACTACCACTAACTCTTACAATTTAATCCTGTTTCAGTTATTAAAGCTCATGTAGGTGTATGATATTAAAAATATACCAAAAAAAGCATAACTTAATATGTCTAAATTATTCTTGACAATTCAAGCGGCTGGTATAAATATCGGATAGGCAGAAAGCAAAATCAATTGTAAATTTTCACACGAATAATAAGCATACCAACATACCAGAGTGGTTTCGGTGAATAAGATCGGGAAACTTTAGAACGTAATCAGTGTGTCCAGGAAAATCCGATGGAATTCGTCTGCCATCTTTAGTCCATTTGACAGAAGTTGTTTCAGGATTTGATTTGTACTTAGTGACTAATTTGAGACCGGTGCGCTAAAATTTAAAAGCAACACAATTTGGAATTCGACTTTTAGCACACAGACACACACACAAAACAAAACTCAAACTAAACGTTTTTTTTCAAAATATCACTAGAAAATTCAGTAAAAGAGCTGAAACTTATGACTTACATAGAATAGTTTTAATTTTGCTCAAATAACAATGGTGACAGTATCGACTACTGAGAACGATATAGAGTATATAGGCTGATTTGTACTTTTATAGGCTAATAAGTTAGATGAGTATATGGATATATATGTGGTTGGACACCAGTGTACACATTCAACTACAATAAAGAGATAAGTCTAACTATAAATCAGGGCAGTTATTCTCTGGTTACAGACCTTTATCAACAACTGTCTTCGCTCTATACTGAAGATGAGATGGCCGGGCCGGAAAGAATCACCAACAAGAGACTATGGGAACAAACAAACAAAACAAGAACCAATCGCCAGCCAACAAATATGCAAGAGAAAGTGGAGATGGATTGGACACTCACTCGCTGAGGAGGCCGCTGGGTGACATCGTGCGTCAGGCCATTGCTCGAGTGGAACCCGAAAGGGAAGCGGCGTGTGGGTCGTCAGTGCAAAGGTGACATGGAGGAGATCGTGTGAAGAGGAGTCGAAACAGTATGGACTAACATGGATGCAGGTGAAAAGTACAGCAGAAGACAGAAGCAAGTGGAGACGTACAGTTGAATCCCTATGTTACACTAGGAACCCAAGCGAACAATAATAATATTTTCATGAACCCTTTCATGGAATAGATGACACATAATATTTCACAACCGAGTTGATTTTACATTCTTCAAATCTGAATAAAGTCTAGTCTGAAGAAGCAATACGAAGACGGAATCTGATGAATGTTTGCATACAAAGAGAGAAAAAACTATGTGATCTGTTTGCAGAAGGAGGAGTGTGTATCCTGATGAGCAAGGTAAGATAGTCTTGGAAAATTACTGGTACCTATTGGAAAATGAATGAACAACGCTGCTCTCTCTCCATAGTTTAACAGTAAAAGATTGAAATAACGACACATATAGACAGAAGAGATTTGTAAAAAAAACCATGAACTTACCGGACCTTTCCGAACAGTAACTTCTTGTTTTAGTGGAGATAAGACAGTTATGCCATAACCAACAAATGGTATGTTAGAATCATATGTCAACAGCCTAGGTCGCTCAAAAGAACCACCAAAATACGTTGAGAAGACAACTGAAGAATCCAGATGACTCCAGCACACCAAACCCATATCTCTCCAAGATGAAGTTGTTCGTTTGTATAAAACTAGTGTGCCTAAAAGAGGGAAAATTGTAAGCAACATGTTAATAAAACAAAAACAAAAAAACAGTTGAGCTTTCCTCTAAATCATCAGTTGTTAAACGTTACTTGATCGCCTTCACAATTTTATTTTACAAAAATTTCATCAGTGATTTTATATTTAATATCTTGAAAATCTACTTCAGTTGTTGGTGTTGGCTCAATGTTTCACTATTATTTTTTTCAGATAATTAATCTTTTTTACAGAGTTAGAGCCATATGCTCAGAAGAGGTAACTGAAGATGAATTAAGCGTTGCATATGATACTTTGATCGAAAATGGACATCCCGACAAATTCATCAAGAAACATGTCAAAGAGAGCTGAAAAGGACTACTTACTATCTGTAAACAAAACGCCTCTTTATATACGACTGCAATTCATGGGCGATATACCATGTGAGATAATTATGAAGAAATTAAGAAAATCACTTCGAAGAATTTTAATGCTGGCGAACTACACGTCTTATTCTCTATACGACCGATGGTGCTACCTCGACTGAAAGATGAAGTACCTAGGCTAGCCACTTCAAATTGTATCTACCAATTCAAGTGCGCTTGTGGAGCGAGTTATATTGGCCGTTACTCTAGGAACTTAATTTTCCGTGCTTGAGAACATATCCCACTATAGCTAAGTAAAGGTGTAGTTAAAACTATTAACAGTTCGATATTGGACCATCTGGTGCAAACCGGCCACAAAGCCAGAGTGGAAGAATCTACCGGGTACCTACTAAATTGCCAAAATCATCGTAGCACTGCATGTTCCAAACAGCAGAGGCTATAGCAATTCGCCTCAAACAACCAGTGCTCTGTGTTCAAAAGAAGCAAGTCCAGCCCCTACTACTGCCTTGGCCTTCAGTAGAAACTATAAACTCATGGATGTGTAATATTATCTCTCCTAATTTTTCTGAGATTCAGCTTATTTTATGTTGATGCTATTGAGCTATAATCTACCAATATTATTCATTCTATGTCATTTAAACAACATTAGTGTTGCTCATAACACTATATTATATACATAACTGTAGACCCTGATGATGAAGTTATCGAAAAGAGTAATCTTTGTTCAGTATCCATTCTTTTGAAAAATTTTAATGGGCATTTTTAATCAATCAATAATTTTTCAAATAAGAAGAGGATAGTTTATGAAGAGAAGGATAAAGTTTTGTGATTGGACAGATAGCACATCAGATTACTTTAGCTGCTAACGAATCATCGTCATTATCCTATTATGTATTTCGATCGCAAACATTCTTTAATAAATAATAGAACCTATTTAACGGTAGAAGACAAAAGACTTGGGTAGTGAAATGGGTTTTTTGGAATTTGATATTTCAATATAGCGAAATTATGTACACCTATCTCCAAATCATGGTTTGTACAGATCTTCTGTGTTGTGCTACTTCTATCCTTCAATGACTGTTAACTCCCAGCTAGATTGTACCAAAACAAATAGCTTTCTGTCGGGAGTCAGTAAATGGTCTGAGTCTAACGGTCTTAAACTGAATCTTTCTAAATGTCAAACTGTTAATTTCAGCTTAAGATGTAAAAGACAGTTAAAAGAAGTCGTCGATTCTCATGACAGTTGTAAGATTGACGATAATGATATAGGAATTAAATCAGAAATTAAGTATCTTGGATTTATTCTCTTTTCTGATCTCTCCTGGGCTTCCCATGTCTTAGCGATCTCCAGTAAAATATTCCGCCTGACATTTTACATTAAGAAGTTAAGACACTCGGGTATAAATCAACCAAACCCTCCTCTTACAGTTCATAAACTCTTGCACCCTACCTATTCTTCCTTACTGTTCACCCTTATTCTTTCCTGGTTTGCTTAAAAAGGACTATGTCACAATTCGTAGAATGCCGAAGACGGTCAGTAAGGTGAGTGGTGTCCCAATGGACCACATAGTTAACGTCGTTGTCGATAGGCACTTGACTTCGTGCAATAAATTTGCTAAAGGGATTTTGTCTGACTTGGAGCATCCACTTTACCTTCAGCTCTCACCTTGCATCTCCTCAGGTAGAACAAGGAGTAACTTCAGAAAACTGTATGCTCGCACGTCTAAGTATAAAAATTCTATGATACCATACTTGGCACGTATTTTATGTCATAGTGAAAATAGTTTTAGGCAATAATTAACTAACCTTTTTTCATCTAGTAAATAAATAGTTTCCTCCATCCATCCATCCTTATATACGTTCAAGTTTTACTTTTATTATTTCTATTATATTTATGGTCCTGTTACTTCTCTGTTTTTTTACTCTCATAATTGCAAACACCAACTTATCTCCATGACGGCAGTAATCTTTGTTTTTCGCCTCACCATATCATGTAAAGAGAACGTTATATTCAATATTTTTAAACATGTTAGGATTTCTATACCACATTGCCAACACTGTGTGACACAATCCAACGGCAATTTTCACTTGTATTCTTATTATTATTACCCTAGCTGTTATCATTATTATTGCTATTTCCATTTTATATGCTGCATGATTTTGACACTACCTCTATTGTAAATGTGTAAAATTTTCTGTGTGATTAATTTTATTTATAATTTGAGGAAATTAGATGCAATATTGTGATTGATGCTGAAAATTCCATCCTGTATCACAAGTACTGTTTTTGGAATAAAGTAAATCATTATTATCATTATTATTATTATATTGTGTTTCTTTATCTTCTTTTCGTGTCTCCCATGTTTTGTCACAACACTGGTTCATTTACTCTCTTTGACGTCAAATCTATCTCTCCGCTATTTGATATTTTTATGCCGATGAACGTCTCTCCATTCACCATTGACAAATCAGTAGCACATGTCACATCTATACATTTAGTAGTTTCAACATTTATAAATCAGGAAGAATCACAGAGACAAGAAAAATATTACCAACTGGAAGGTGTTTTACAGCTGCATTACAATGGAAATATGGCACCATTTATTCCTCGATTAATTAACCGATGAGCGAAAAACAAAATGAGATCCATCTCCATTCAACAATACTCTTCTGTGAAGGTTTAACTTCATCTTCAAGGTAATTTACTAAATTTTCTTAGTGAGAGATGTCCTGAAGACTCCTAGATATGATATCTCTTTTATTTGCTATCGTTAGGAGAAGGGCTTCGGTGACGAAGAATTTACAGACGGTAGAGTCTGTACATAGCAATATAATTAATTGTAGTGAGTAATCGTCAAAAGTAACTAGACTTCGGAAAATGATATACAGCATCAAATATGGCAATGAGTAATCAATCTAAGTGCGTCGGTAACATAGCGGTTAGGACGCTTGCCGACCATGCACGTGGTCCAGGGTTCGATCCCCGGCCGACGCACTCCTTTACCTCGCCAAGTCAGAAATAATGCTGGTAAAGAGGAAAGGTTGAGCATGAGGCTAGCAACCCCATCCTGTAAAATAAATACTGCTACAGAAACTTCAAGCCATTAGCTTGAAGCCCTATGTTCCACTGGGGAACGTGAAGGAAAAAAAATCAATCTAAGTAGTATTAAAAATTTGCTGTAAGAATGCATAAAACATACCGTTTGGAAAAATATAGCTATCAAAATAATTTGAAACATGAATAGATGTCTGTCGAACTCTACGCATACAACCAGCAGACTGTATACCATCAGGACTGTCTACATCACAAAATGACCACATAAACGGACTAGGAAATGCTGCATCAGCCCAGCTTGGCAACTCCTCGGATACTTGAGTTCGTCCACATTCCAAACTTAGCGGTAGATCATTAATGGATAAAGGAGGCAAGAATTCAGTCTGTTTTACGGGACGTGTCACCATACCTATGAAAACATGGAAAAGGGTTGCACGGATTAATAGGTAAACAGAAAAAAAAGATTTAAAAAACCTGAAATCTAATTGTATTGAGAGTGAGATTTCAAATATTATGATAATACCACGATGAATAGCTAAAAGGAGAATAGTGATACAATCGAAGATTGAAAAACGCTTTAAGACAGAGAAAAGAAAAGGTGAAGCAAACAAAGATAAGCCGCACCATAACGAGGATAAAGGTGTCTGTGCGTTGCTAAGATGAATTTTGAGTAGTGCCACCTGTTCTAGTGATCACGCGAACAACGCGCAATCAAACCACCTGTGAATAACTTCAAATACTGATATGAAGTCTAGGTCTGGCTTTTCTTTACTTCCATCATTACCTGTTTCGTTTACACAGACCTTGAAGATAGAAAATTACAATCCTTGCTTCAGTTTAAAAAAACTCCAAGCGGATACTGCCAGTCAGTAACAAGAAAGAATGTCACCAGCCCACAACAAAATGATTCGCAGCATGGATACTGACGAGCAGCTAGATTTTACTACCTACGTCGACAGGGGAACAGTTAAGATTTTTCAGTAAATATCAAAGAACATGTCTACTGAACAACAGTGGGTTGTAATACAGTTGCTAAGAGTGTAGTGTACAGTTTGCAAGAGTCAGACATCATCTTGAAAGTATCTTTCTCTTTATACAAACACGTTGGTGACACTTCTGATTCCAAGTGCATGTGAGACGCAAAACACGTCTGAACTCACCATCTAAATATCTGAAGGAGTTCAAGTTGATTTAGGCATTCGACTTTCAGCAAATGGGTCGCGGGTTTCAACCCTACCAAATCTATCAAGGTGTCGGCAGCCAGATAGTGTCACTAACCCTCACACGACAGGTGAAATTAACGAAAGAATGGATACATAGACCAACAAAATGCAGTAACCTGAGCGTCCCGATCAAAATTTTGAATTGCTTGTATGCTATTTGCATCTGTTAATTGTGAGATGATACCACAGAACTGGTCTGCATCAGCTTCTAGTCAATGTGTGACGAATGTGTTAACCAATTTACCTATTTGAAAAAAAATGTTCTACTGACAAAGCCACAGAACAAATACAAGGAGCTCTCATCCACATGAATCACCTTAAACATGGACAAGACAATAAGAGTACTCAAATCAAAGTGTGAGCCTAGTGAACAGTAGTTTGGTCTGTTTTATTTTACAGTCAAGACATGGTTGGTAGAAGTAGACATGAATGTATTACAGGTTCTAGACCGGAACTATATTCATTAAACTGCTTACATTAGATGAGTCTAAATAATACATACTATTGAGATTAAACGTTATGATAAGCATTTATTATTTATTTTATTTTTGATTACAGCTTGATTCCACACCGTATTTTTGACACAAGTATGGAGTTTTCAGCATGGATATCGGTAGTCTAAATTCTGCAGGCCGACCATAGATATCAGGTGTGCGTCGGCGGGGGATCGAACCTCGGACCATGTGCATGGTCGGCGAGAGTCCTAACTACTGTGCCACCGACGCAGTAAAAAACACGACTCAATTATTAAGGATATGATTCTTTGTTGATTAAAAAGATCACACTAAAACACTGAATCAATCCATGAGGTTGTCGATATTATTTGATTCAAGCAAATAGGTGTAGGCTTTCCATTTGAGACTTGGATTGTCAAAAATCAGTGGTTTGAAACTCTCAACGACATGAATGAAAATTCGTTTTTGGCTTAAGTCCACACGTTTTCCAACATATAAATAATTTCAGTAACCAACAAGCTATATTATGGCTTTGTTCGGAAGCCTGAATTGCTAGGTTCCTATTTAATAACTTTAGAGTAAGCATCAACAGTCGTTCTAGGTTTTTAAAAAAATTACGATTCGATAAAATCACAATGGGATGTTTTCTAAAACAGAAAGACAAAATCTCAAGAACATTTACGGGTGTAATAATCCATTCTCATAAGTCAGAAACGGTGTATCGTTTTTGGTTTTAGCATACACATGCATACAGATGATGTTAAAACTACAGTAATCCTAAGTATCTCAGATAAAGTCAACGAAACCGTAAAATGAACCATGTCTGTGAACTAATTAAAAAATGACCACCTTTTACTTAGCTCTGTTGGTAGAGCCACAAACCTAATCTGATCAAGTATTGACCAAGCATTACGCAATTAGCGTATGGCAAAAGTTTACTCCGGATAACTCCTTTTTAAAACAAGACGCTAGAATGTACTGATAGGTTACATTGGAAACTAACCTTATTCTGGTTTTTATAAGTCCAATATCTAAAACTAGGGAAAATTCATGAGCTGTGGATATTTTTTGTGGAGTTAGCATTGGCAATATTGTTATTTGAATATTTACGAGGGAACACTAAAGCTCATAGAAAGTCGAAGATTGGTTCAAACGTTGAGAGAAAATAATGGACCACTCGAAGACTTTGTACTAGTCGATGAATATAACAGTTCGTCAGTCAAGACATTGCAGGCCAAATGAATGTACATAAGAATGACACTTGTACAACACTTCTGATCTATAGTTAGCTAACTACGTGTTTTAACTATCCAATGCATCTGAAAAGTTGACAATGTATTTTTTGTACATTGTTGATTTCCTTCTCACTAAACCAGATTACAGATATGAACATCGTTTATTACTCAGCAAATGAGATTAAGTAAGTCATTATCAAAAACTCATTCACCCATACAGACTTAAATTTTACTGGTTCCCAAAAATAAACAGGTTTCCGTGTCCAGGTGTAAACACCACCGTTAACGTTAACAGCATAGAAATAAAAATCAATAATGTCATGAACAGTTTGATGCTTACTAATAATACATGGCCGTTTGGTAAGTCAAATATTTTGAAATTATGTGAGAATATGAAAATGAAAGCATGGACAAATTTAACCAAACTAATGCTCACGGACACACCAAAAATCAATTAGATAGGACTTACGCTTGTGATAATAATATGCATCCTGTATTTCAATTAGATTCGATATTAATTCCCCCTTTCGATTATGGTATTTGCAGGAATAAAATCCATCCAATAGTTCATCTTTAACGGGCAACCTGGAGGAAAAGGTATATCCTACCAAATACAGAAAACATCTGAGAGAGTCATACCTGAAGATCTGTTGCCATTTGCACTAAATCCAACACGACCAAAAATCACACTTTGAGATTTAGGATCAAGACATACATCCGTATCATATATCGACTTCTGAAAGGATGAAGAATGGTTCAATTACAATAAATAAAAAATAAATGTAACTGATAAAATAGGTATATGCAGTATATGGTCACACAGATTTCCTGGGGGAAGAATTAATGCAAACTCTTTCTGCAGACCATTGAAGAACATGATTGAGAATACTTCCTATTCAAGTTACTTCACTCAAACCAATCCATATAGGCAAGAAATTACAGCAAGCCATTCTCTAAATCACAATATAATAAACAAAACTAAGCATGTTAGAGACCCACTAACTGACATCAGTCAGTGCTGCAAGTTTAATATTCTACTCAGACGTAGGGAAATTTTAAAATCAAATGTAGACAACGCTTAACGTCATTAGGCAGAAATTATGATTAAGCCTGAGCGCCTTCCCAATCCCCAATGATTCTCTAACTGATGTCAATCCGTGACACGTAGAAAACAAATATCCTTACACACCAACTAATGAAAATACCAGACGTCCATTTATTTTACTGAAAGTCCCAAGATATTTGTATCACTCACTTAAGTGACATGCACGTCTCACCTGTCCCAAAGTTACGCATTAAAACCAAGGCCTTCGCCCGACCGGTCTGTCTAACTAAGTACTAAAACCTGAGCAATTCGACTAATAAATTAGTTTTACAAAACCATCGAAACACGTCAACCTAGGTCACTGGCCATTACATCTTAACATAATTTAAAGAAAACACTTTAGATATCACACATAAAAACATTCAAACTGTATGATAACTTACTCTACGACATAGATATGCGGATACAAGCTCATGAGTGGAATCAAGAGGAGCAACTATGCAGTGAATCTTTAACTCTGGAGGCTCATTCAGGGCTCGATTATCCTTATACGAACTTGCTGTCGAATTGTAGCATCCAGCTCGATGGGATTCCTGATCCCAGGATGTTCGTAATAATAAACATTGTGGCTAACACCACTAACAGGTATAAACTGCAGATACTGTTCCTTCGTTAACAGACCTGAAAATAACTTCATATTAAATATTATTAATACTACCATTTGGTGCTTCCGAAACAAGTAAAATCAAGGGAAGTAAGAAATGCATAGGATAGAGGATAGCGGCACAAATGGCTTATGGAGAGGCTGAGCACTTGAAGGTCACTTACGCACACTGTGATTGGTAGATTTTCCTTTGCGTAAACGTTGCGGCTAATACGTGCCGTACGTTACTGAGGCGGGCTTTGAAATAGCAATAATAAAAGCGGATAAACATTATATTTTTTAGCTTAAGGGAACAAGTTAACATGCTTATAAATTTCACAGATGTGAGAAGCATTAGATCCAGTAACAAGGAGAATACTACTGGGTAACTTAATCAAAGAAATATAAAGTTTGGAGATTTTATGTCTTTCAGTTAATTGTAACGGATGGGTAAGAGTCACTTGTATAATATTTGCTTTTTATAGAAGAAAAAGTGTGACAGGTGATTTGGAAGTTACATGATTCCTGAAATCTATCGTGGAATATATGGACGACTAATCTGTAGAATTTCACCAACTCTGTGGTTGTTCTTTGCCTTGTTCACATATTCACTGTGGCTAAGATTAGGAATTGTTCACCAAAGGTAAGATTAATTTACCCGATATGTATACATCCTCAGATATTTCTCAATACGGCCGAAGGCAGTCGAAGGAATATAATCTCAATCTCTGCTTGAAAAGTTCACATCCAGTTTCTGCGAACGGAACTGGTGGTGACGAAAACTGCAAAGACTGGTCCAACACCACTAACAACGGAGGCAAACTGACACAGATGTTGCGGTTAGAGTGTTTGGTGGACTTTATGATGACTACGATGCAGCTATAAAAACTCTACAACTGTGATTTTTTCACTGGATTGTTATTAACTCTTTTTTGTGTATATATGTACTCTTTTATTATGAGTCATTTTTAATTTGATTGATTATTGTTTCCTTACAAATATATGCATTTATGTCGACTAACTTTGTCTCTTTTACTTATTTTGAGGACATTGCAGAGTTAACGAGAATGATAGGCAACGTTTTAATACTTATGTGAAATGCGTCAGTCATAAACTGTTATTACTTCCTCTATGCGTCATCAAGCCTTGCGTAAAGTGTTTCAGTTGCGTATAAGATTAATATTCAAGATTGTTAAGAAGGTAGCCGTCAAATATGTGTTCGTACTGTAATAACGAAACAAAGTCTAGCAAACGTAGGTTCTATATGCAGACGACATGTATTAGTAGTCCAGGCACTTCAAGTACACAATGCGACGTGTGTCCCACTTATCACAAATACTCTGTTATTATTATGTTGCGTTTAACACCACTATCTCGAAGGGTATCATTAGGTAATAAGGAGAAAACTACATTACTCTTCTTGTGTTATCATTTCGTATCAAAAGGCTCTTACATGATCACACCAACACTTAGACTCGTGCATTAATGCAACTAATTAGTTGACTACGTCACTAAACTTCGTTGATTATTTTGCTATCATGAAATACTGTGACGCATTAAATAGGCCTTTGTTGTGCATATCGCCTGTTTAAGATTTACTAGCGAAAGCAATTACTCAAAAGCGATAACAGTACCCCATCGTGACGAAATTCAGCAACGTGTGAATATGCCATTTTACGAATATTACGTCTTCTACATTGGCATCACTTTGCAACTCGACAAACACTAAGTATTAATGGAGCAAAATTTGTAAAACAATATTTATTTCGATAAATACATTATTAATATCACAAAAATTCCATCATTTACACAAATATTATCGTTTTTAATCCCAATTAGAATGTCTAAATGTATTGAGTGATTGCGGGATTGAAGACCATAATCTGGAAATTAAAAATAAACATTCAGTCAAGATGTGATGAGTTAAATAAATAAACATATAATACAGTACGTACTAGTTAAATGACTATCTCTTCACCGTTATCTGACGAAATAACCAACTCAATTTCCTTTATTTCTGAGCAATTTGGTAAAAATCATGAAATTATAATTACCTCGATATTTAACCCTTTTCTCATCATATACGTAAAATAAACTTCAAAATTTGTAATTATTTAGCATTTTCTATCATAATTGACATTTTCCAATGAATTGTTTCATTTCTTATGCATCTCGGGATGTCAATTCGATGAAAAAACAGCATTTCGTCAACACAATGAAAACGATTACTTTTCTCACTTTTTACACGTTTTTTCGTTAAAATATGATTTTTAAAATGCATTTCTGTCGAAAAAACCACTAAAAACAACGTAGAATAGCCTAAACACAACACCACGATAACACCTTAAAACTGCAGCAATCAGCTGATTTGTGCCTCTATCCTCTACCATGCATAGTGGGATTATTGGGCTATATATGCCGCCGTCCCGAATATTTGAGTACCCGCGACATGCGAAGGTTGAATTTTGGTAGCGCAAACAAGTCATGCTTCACTATTCAAATGTTCCTTCTACTTATGGAAGCTTAGTTCTATGGACATAAAAAAGAGAGACGATGATGTGAAAATATCATATTTGGTTCATTCAAGGCAGCGACTCTGAGTTATTTTGGAATCCTTCTCGGGAACTATTTGCTTGACTAAAACTCAAGTAGATTTCACTGGAAGATAACTAGAGTTACCTTCTGACTTTTAAGTAAATTAAAGTATACCATCAAGAAGATTAAGTTGTTGTGGATGACTGTCGAAAGTGATGGAGCTATCAGTCAACTGTCATATTTGTATGGTACTAATGGATGATGTTTCTATCAGACTTCAAAACTTGAAGTTGACAAAAAATATCCCTGTCGTTCTACCCTCACAAAATACCATGAGACCCAACACTCATCTTTTAGAAAAAAGATGTGGTTGGTATCACGAACACTAAGAGAAAGCCACTTGTAGCCTTTAAAATCGTCAAACTTAAACTTCAATTCATTTGGATGTTTTAGAATAGATTTTAGGAATAGTTAATCTGTCGATAGGAGGAGTATATGGCAGTTTCCGCTCCAGTACAAAATAAGAACCAGTAAATGGATATTTTTATGACCTTAAACTTGTTAAATGACATCTGCGAGACCATAACTTCCTTGGTAATTATATAATACACCATCGTGACTACAAAATACAACTGTGGTTGAAAAAAAATATACTAGAGTCTATAAACCATTCTGCCTTCCATATGTTTTGAATTTTTCAACACAAACGCGTCTGAACAAGTTCCAATCCGGTTTTATGCCTTCTTTTTTCCTAGTCAACGCGTTCATATCAAACTCAACCTATTAGATCAGATGAGTTCAGAAACATTACAGTAAAATAACCATGACATTTGCGTCGTATAATAATACCATTCTTTAGAACATATTCCCCGAACGACCGAGGCTTTTCAGTTCTTGTCCTGTCGTAATTATTCACAAGTAAGTTAAAATACCTGTGAAGTGAAGTTTTGAGCTTATCGGATTAATAAAGCTGGCAGGGTGTTAAATATTATTTACACGTCCACTATTTCTCATCTCCCAATTTGATTGGTTGCAATATTTTCCATATCTCTGGTATAAGTGATGAACCATTCCTACCGCACGCGTTGGGTGTAGATTCTATGAACGAAGATTCCGTAACCAACCTCTCTCTTCTTCCACCTACCTATATTACTTCTTAGAACTTTAAGCCCCTCCAACTCTATTGTGTGGTTGTGTGTTATTACATGCAGTGCAATCGCCGAGCTTTTTTCTGAATTATTGAGAGCCTATGTGGGATTCTTGATGAACCAGGAATTAGGGTGGCAATCAAGACTAAAAATTCACTCAGGTAGAACAAGCTCTGTGGGTTGAAGGACCCAACTGATTCAATCAGTCGGTATAATATAATTTGCAAAATACCTTACAATGACTGTTAGCTAAGTCAATTACGTAGGTCAAACTAGTAGATCGGGTGTAGTCAGATTATCAGAACATAAGCATTTAGCTTAGGTTAGAACGGCCGACCTCGCGAAGATAAGTAATGTGGAAAAAATTTCAGCGATTACGCTGTATGTATTAACACACAACCACACAATAGAGTTGGAGGGGCTTAAAGTTCTAAGAAGTAATATAGGTAGGTGGAAGAAGAGAGAGGTTGGTTACGGAATCTTCGTTCATAGAATCTACACCCAACGCGTGCGGTAGGAATGGTTCATCACTTATACCAGAGATATGGAAAATATTGCACCCAGTCAAATTGGTAGATGAGAAATATTGCAGTCATATAAACTAAGTTTGAGGGTTGTGTGAGCATTTCGATTAGATTATGAGTAATTTTTTTCGAGACGTCATCAGTAAATATTACTTTATAACAATATGAGGCTTTATCAAATAAATCTTACCCACAATGGAATTATACTTTGCCACAGTGATCAACTGCTATTCTTTTATCGAGAGTGGGAGATATTGTGTGTCCACCAAACAGATCAGAGCGGAGGAAAACCGGAGCTCTCTGATAGTGACTGATATGACCGCCATTACTACCCTGATGAGGGCTGGCTGATAGTCAAAACTGGTGGACAGTATTTTACGTCGGTGTTTATGTCCCCTATATTGGTCGTGAGAAAAATGAGAACAAAGGCTTTGCGTAGGCGGATACAGTTAACATATAGATGACCTGACATTTAAGAAACAGTCACAAAGAGATGCAAGGTTAACTTTCTGTGAGAAACAACCAGTCAGAGGACTGTGTTTTCCTTCCAACAATAATCTATAATATGTACATGAAAACCTATAAATGTGTGTTGATTTCCATAATAAACCATCTGTTGCCTGACCCTTGTCTTCTGTTGTTACATCTGGTGTCGCTACCTACCGACAAATGGGAAGCCAATGCCCTGCGGTTTTTAATGGAGACATATGGATCTTCGGAAGTTTCTATAGCAATTTAGTTAAGTTTTGGGGTGGAGTTGCTAGCACCACCCCCAACCCTCCCTATTTATCCAGGCTTGGGACCGGCTAGAAAACTAGTGAGCCAGTAATCTAGGTGAGGTTCAAAC